ATGATAGAGAGCTCTAGGGGTTTAGTTGGTTGCGGGGTTGCATGGCTTACCCATAGGGAGTCGCTGTGCCTGTCTGGCAGCTCAAATCCACTAGCTGTTCTATGTGAGAGATGGGCAGTCTCCTCCCATCGAATTCATTTACAGCCTCAGCTATCCACTGAAGGTCAGCTGTGAATTCCACTCATCAGCAGGAAGTTGGAGTTTCTTGTTCAGTTCTATGAGAAGGTAGCTAGTGTATGATGTTCAGCAGGGAATAGAAAAATAGGCTAGCACTATAAAAGAGAGAGGGTATGTGCTAAAGTAATTGCTGAACAGATTATGTGGTGTGTTAAACAGTGTATATATAACATGATAAGAGTAAAAATCAATGTTCTCTATTATGTGTTGGTTTTATTTAAAGCCCTAGAAAAAATCACTTCTCATTGTTTTTATGCACCCTTTCCAAGGAAAATTATCTTAATGTTGTTTGGTTGCTGTAACAGAAATACCAAAAGAAAGTAGCTTTAAAAAATGGAATTTTTTTTTTCCCCTCACATGCTATCCACGGTCTGCAAGTTGATTCCAACTATCCAAGGCTGTAAATCTTTATGGAATGAGACGTCCTAACTTTCTCCTAAATTTGAACCATTGACCTTCCATCTAGTGTTGCAACATATAACACACTATACATGTTAAATGTCAGAATTTAGGATGTGTCACTGGGGAATGTCCTTTTATTTTTCTGTTTCATCTGGCTCACTTTGGAGTTCCTTGGCCTGTAGATTGATCATCTACTGTTGTCATCCAGTTGTATTGATTTTCCTCCCCTTTTTGTATCTGTGCTGCTCTTTATTTCACTCAGAGGTGAAGAGGTTTAGACAACACTGATGTGACCTCATTATCGTAGCTGAGAAACTCCTCTCTTGAGATAGGAGTATAGCCACACTTGTAAACCTGTTGCTATTGAGTTGAGTGGATTCCCATTCAGAGCAATACCTTAGATGAGAATAGAACTGACTGTAGGATTTCCAGCTCTGAAATCTTTACCAAAAAAAAGCCTGGTAGTACAGTGGTAAAAGCTGTGAACTAAAAGGTCCGTGGTCGGAGCTCACCAGCCACGCTTTGAGAGAAGGACGTGGCTGCTGTAAAGATCAGTGGCCTTGGAACCCCTGCGGGGCAGTTCTGCTTTGTCCAGAGTCTCTGTGAGTCAGCGCTACTCAACAGTTTTGAACTTGGTTCCTTTTGATTTGGAATCTTTCTGGAAATGAGACTTCCACCTCTTTTTATTCTCATGGAGCAACTGGTGGATTCAAAGCCCACAGACCTAGCAGCCTAGAGCTTAACCTCTGTACCCGTAGGACTCCTTTCCGTAGGGTTCACATTCAGGCACTGCTCTTGAGTTGGAATCAACTCAGAGACGACTCTTACATGGGTTTCCAAGGCTGTAAATTGCATGGGAGGAGATTGTGTATCTTCTGCAGAGCTGGTGATAGATGGGAACTGTCTCTGGGTTAACAGTACACTTCCCTAGCGGCTGCCAGAGCCCCCTTTCCTTGGGTACAGGGGTAATTCAGGCAATAACTGAAGAGTTCTCTCTTTAAAAAAGAAATCAAGAGTAAGGTGGTTACATTTTTTCTCCCTCTTTGTCACTATTCTAATTTCTTTTCTAAAAGTTGATGTACATTAATTTACTGTCATTTTATTGATGGATAATCCACATATATCATACAAGTAATTCTTTCAGGGTATAAAAAATCAATGGTTTATTGTATAGTCAGAGTTGAGCAATTTTCATACTCAATTCAGAACTTCTTTGCACCCTCAAAAGAGGGTTAATTAATAGTTACTTCCCATGTTCTCTCAAACCCCCCCATCCCTGCAAAACCGCTAATCTGCTTCCTGTCTCTAGGCTACTGGACCTTGCATGTAACAGATCAGTTCTGACAATATCCTGTCTTTTATGACTGCTTTACTTCACACTTTATAACATAGTTTCTATAATTTTAGCATACACACTTCTTTTATTGTTAAATAGTACCCTGTGCCAGTATGTGTGTTTATCCATTTGGTTTGGTTACACTTTTCAGTTACAAATCATGCTGCTAGGAAAATTAATGGGTAAGATTTTGTTTGGACATATCTTTGCCATTCTCTTGGGTATATCCCTAGGAACAGATTTATTGAATAACATGGTATAACTCTAACCTTTTGAGAACCTGCCAAGGTAGTTTCTGTAACGGTTGACCATTTTATCTTCTGGCCAGTGAAGGTTCAAGTTTTTCTTGGTTTGTTGTTGTTCTTGAGTACTGTTGTAACTGACTCATAGCTGATCCCCCCAGTGTGTTTTCAGAGACAGTAAATCACACAGGAGGAGATTGCCCTTATTTGTCCCTCTGAACAGATGGTGGACTTGAATCACATGCCTTTGGGTTGGCAGTGCATGTCCTACACCACTAAGCCACCAGCGTACCCCTCATTGTAGATTTGATTTTTATTTTTCTGTAGGCTAATGTTGGCTGTCTGAATGTGCACTATTGTCCATACGTACATCTTCTTTATTATCAGTTGCCATCTAGTCAGCTGGGACGTCAGTGTCGCTCTGAACAACAATTTTGACCCTCTACGCCATCTGTTTCTACTGTGGCTAGAGAGTGTTGTTAACAGTCACTGTGTCAGTCCACCTCATTAAGGGTCTTTCATTCTCCAACCTTTCCCAGCATGCTATCTTTGTGCAAGAGCTGGCTTCTCCTGACAGTGTGACCAGAGTGTGTGAGATGTCTATTTTTTTTGCCCATTTTTAAAGTATATTGGTAACTGTTCTTTATATTTTTTAGATACAAGTCTCTTATTAACATTTGCAACAAAGTTCTTTCAGTCTTTTGATTACCTTTTCACTTTTTTTTTTTTTAAGTAATTTTCAAATTTCTTGCTGCGTGCCATCAAATTGGATCTGACTGGCACAGGAGGAGGTTGCCCCTGTTTCTCCAGCAGAGCATCTGGTGGATTCGAACTGTGCACCTTTGGCTTTGAAGCACAGCTTCTTGCTACTAGACCACCAGAGCTCCCTACCTTATCATTTTCTTGATGTCATCTTTTGAAACACGTTTTAAATTTTGATGATGTACAGCTTTCCTGTTTGCTTTTCATTGCTCATGTTCACATCTGAGAAATCATTGACTAAAGTCATGAAGATTTATGCCCATTTTATTATAATTAAAAAATGTATTTTCATGTAAAGTCTTTAATAGCAGTGCCAGTAAACAAACTTTTAAAGGGAATACAGCACTGGAATCCTTTCAGTCTGGTGTTTTAGTTGCTGTGGAGTTGGCTCTGGCTCACAGCCACCCCATGTGCATACGCACTTCTCTGCCTGCACCATCCTCAAAGTTTGCACTGTGACTGGACCCATTGCTTCAGCTCTGTGTCAGTCCATGTGCTTGAGATCTTTCTCTTTTTTATTCATTCTTTACTTCCCCTTCAATTTCCCTTAGAAAGCTTATTGACAATGAGTTGATTCCAACTCATAGCAAACCTCCATTGGCTTTCTGAGGGGAAACAGGAAGGGATTATTCCTCTTCCTCCCATGGATTCAAACTGCCGTTACCTGACAGCCTTTGGATTTGCAGCACAGCTCTTCTCCAGAAACTGTGCCCCCAAAGCCCCCCATCTTCAATTGATAAAGAATATGTGTATATGTATTTAAGAGTCACACACTTTAGAGGTCAGGTATTTTTGCACTGTTTATTCAGTCATTTATGCATGTTTTCATTATTGCTGTTGGTCAAGTACTATGTTTCATTCTGGGTTTTGTGTATGTGTTTATATGTACTAATCATTATTTACATTTTTAAAGTCTATATTATAGTTTATTTCCTATTTGTTGTGATATAATTTCTTAATAGGGTTGTCTTTTTTTTATTCTATGATAAAATGCCAGTTAGCATCTATAACAATATGGCATTTGATTTGTTAGTATAATACCCAGGAATAGAGTAGAAATGTCAAGTCAAAGAGTATAAATATCTTCACAGCTTATATGAAGTCATATTGTCTTCTGGAAATAACAAATTCCATCGTGTTTTTAGTTTACCAAACATAACTCAATTTTTTCTGTTTATTTTAAATTAATGCCTTTTAATTAAGAATTAAAATTAAGTAAATGAAAATACATTTATGTCATTAAAGAAAGTCAAATCTCCTTTCCTTCCTCCTCCTCCTCCTTCTTTTTAACCCTCCAGGATGGCTTCTTCTGTGGACACTCTGCTGACTTAGTGCTAAGGAAGTATGCTGCCAATCTAAAAACAGGCAGTTTGAATCTACTAGCTGCTGGGTGCTAGAAAGGTGTCAGTTTATAACCTCTGAAAATCCGCCGCAGGGTCCGCTGTGACTCAGTTCTGACTTGACGGCACAGAACAAGACTGTTCTTTATTTGGCTTCCTTCTCTCTCCTTCCCTTCTTATCCCTGATAACCCTCCAAGCTTGATGTGTGTGTGTGTGTGTGTGTGTGTGTGTGTGTGTGTGTGTAAATCTTTCCTTTGCTTTTTATATTGGAGGTTTTCCATACTAATTGTCCTTCTGTGACTAACGTCGGGAGCCCTGCTGGTGTGATCTGTAGGGAATATGCTCCTGACCCAAAGGCCGTACCTGTCAGGGGTTTGAGTCCACCAGCAGCTTCTCAGGAGCTAGGTGCCCAGAGCATTTTACCGCTTCCAAGACCCACAGGGGGGTCAGCTCCGTGTCAGCTCCAGTCCCCACAATGAAGGGGGGTTTAGATATCATTATCTAATGCATTCTAAATGTGTTGAAATTCATAGTCTCTGCCTGTAAAACTCAGGATGTATTTATGTATATATGTATTCCTCTGAAAAAATAATGGTAGCTGTTATGGAATACTTTGTACTGATACTAAAAACTAGAATAACTAGTTCCCTTATCAGCTATAGATAAGTTTAAAAATACTTACTTAAAATTTATTTTATGCTAGTCTTTAAATAATAGTTTAATACTTTTATTTTCTTTAGGCTTCGGGAGCAGGAAAGAAAAGAAGCAGAAGAAGCTAGTCAGAAGGAAATAGAAGAATGGGAAAGAAAACTTCTAGCTCAAGCAGCTCCAACATGTATGGAGACCATGTGGGAAATTCCAGCCATTGGGCATTTTCTTTGTTTAGCCCAGCAAATTCTGAATTTGCCAGAAATCGTCTTTTACGAATTGGAACGTTGTCTTTTAATGCCTCAGTGTAATGCTTTTCTATCAAAGATAATGACTTCTCTATTGAGTCCTCCCCATCGCAGAGCTACCTTACATCGGAGACCTGCCTTGCCTTACAGGAGCTGGGAGGCAGCTCTGAGACAGAGAGTGCAGCAGTGGTACACTGCCGTCGGGCAGACAGAGAATCCTGACGGCTGTGCTGAGAAGCTTGGCTTATGTCCTCAGTTTTTTAAAGTTCTGGGAGAAGTTAACCCATTGGAAGAAAAACCTTTCCACGAACTACCTTTCTACCAAAAAGTTTGGTTACTTAAGGGGCTTTGTGACTTTGTGTATGAAACGCAAAAAGAAGTTCAAGATGCTGTCCTTGGACAACCTATCCATGAATGCAGGGAAGTTATCCTTGGTTACGATTATTTGGAGAATGCTTATGTACATTTCCCACAGTTCTGTGGTGCAGATGTGCGGATTTATAAACAGAGACCCTTTCAAGCCCCTGAATTTCCAGTTCCACCCATCAAAATACAAAGAGTACCTCGGATTAAACTGGAAAAACTGAAGTGTGACTATGTTAATACAAGTAACGGAGAACATAGGTGTTGTAGAGGCAGCGTGCCCTTTGCTTTCAAGAGAGACCAGGGAATGAATTTTGACCTAACTTGCTGCCCTGCTAAAATGAGTTTAGATAATCATGACATCTCTGTTGAAATGGAGGTAAAATCCAACTGTGAAATTAGAATTCGCAGGTCCTGTGAAATTAAAAAAGCAGACTGTTACAAAGAAAATTTAGAAAAACCAGGGAGTCCAGGGGAAGTTGCTGGCTTTGGAGCGCCTCTCAGCCCTGGTGAAATAAGGTTTCTAGAAAATCAGGGAAAATGTGATGAAGCTTCCAGACTAAAGCCTGAGCCCAGTCCTTTTAAAGAAAATGCTCTCAAATCTTGCCAGATACATGTGAATGGAAGTCATGGTGATTATTCCGAAATGAACTGCCACAGAGTTGTGAGGGATATTCTACTAGAAGAATCACTGCAGAGCCACAAGAAACTCAAACTAACGAAAATGCGGGCAAAAAAGAAGAAGAAGAAGAAAAAGAAATTGAAAGATGTTTTGAATGAAAACTTACAGAGAAAGCGTGAAGGTCTTCATTCTCTTGCATTTAAATCTTGCAAGCCTGAGATCCAGAATAAGTTACTGATCATTAAGAAGAAGGCGAAACACAAGAAGCACAAATCTGGTAAGCTGCACGCGACATGTGGGGTGAGCATTCTGTGTAAACCAGCGCCGGTTGTGTTCCAGTTAGGAGTCAGCGACCTTTGATTAGCAAAGTGAACTGCACAACACAGCCAATGTCTTTATACATGTTTGCTTAAAGATTAAGCCTTATTTTCTAATATAAAAAAAAGAAGGAATGAAAACTAAAACCGAGTGCCGTTCATGTGAATTTGAATTGAACATTGTTTCTCTGTTTCTGTGCATCAGTTTCTCCATGAGTGATGATTCGTTAAGTTTTGCTTTTAGCAAATATAGATACCTAGTATATTAGTCACCAGCCTAGGTAAACAACAACAGAAATGAGAAGAGTTCTTTATTCTTGATTACCTTGTTTTTTAATCATTGACGTGCTTTTGCTTTTCCTGCCATGCCGGCGCATCAGTTTATGCCACATTTATCCTCCTAGGAGGAGAGAGGAGATAAAAGCAAGTGATGACTGCTGTTACCTGTTCCTAGTAAAAAGTATGAAGCTCTGGTGGCGTGGTCTGTAGGCTCCTGCACCAGTGCCTCTGTATGAGGACGTCCCCAACCTGTGGTTTTATAGCCCTGGAAACCACTGGAGGGTTGGATAGGAGGGAGCCAGCTCCAGCTCATAAGCAGTGAGAGCAAAATACTGCTTGACTGGAAAAAAATTGGAATTGTTTATTAAAATAAATAGTAGTTTATAATCATCATCATTATGGGCCTCAGTTTTCCAGTTTCACAATAGCAAATGTAATTAAAATTTGACAATAACTAATTTGCTTGCAAAATGAGGATTTGAATCTTTTGTTAAATAGATGGTTTTATACCTTAGTTATATAAAGAAATTCTTAAATATTCTTAAAATATGTAAATAAAAGACATTTGCTAGTAAAAAGAGGCAAAATGTGTAAAACTAAAAGTTGTGAACATTAGTTACCCACTCAGGTGATCAAAAACTTTTAATTTTTAAAAATGACTTTCAGAAATAAGTCATTGACATTGTGTAAGCAATCAGATTATATTTAGTTTGAAGGGTTTGGCAACTTCACTTAAAATGTTAAATAATATTTTATAATTTTAAGCATTTTTTTAAAATTCTGAAGTATTCAGTAGCCTTTTAATACCATTGTCCCCAAAAGCTTTTTTAAAGAGGTTTTACCCTTTATGACAATAAACTTCATGATAGTTCATGCATGAAAGTGGACACTGATGCAGCTTCTACGCTGATTTGTTAATAACAATAAAATTCACAACTGCAAGGGAATGGATTGAGGGAGGCAGTGGTGGCTTCACTAAGGAGTTACTCCACAAACCCAAGGCACACAATCCAAATCCACCAGCTGCTTGGTGGGAGAAGGATGGGCGATCTCCTCCTGTGGGATTTACTACCTCTGAAAACCTGCTGCAGGGTTCACTATGTATCAATTCTGACTTAGCAGTTCATAGCAACAGAGAAGTGGCATCTCAAGGCCAATCCACTCCCTTACTAGTGTGCCCATTTAGAGTCTATCTGGTTTGGGTAGTAGATTCGCATGGAGAACATGGGGGGGGGGGCGGGAAGTGGGCTTGCTCCTGTGCCTTTTTATTTATCCTTGAGAAGTTTTCAGAAAGTCAAGTCTTCAATGATACAAATATTTGCATCTTCTAGATAAAGTTTTCTCATTTTGTTGTTAGTACTGAGTAAATATGGGCCATTTCCTCTTTACATCAGATACTAAAACTCCTTGATGCTGTTACAACAGTGTTGTATAAAATGTTGTAAACAGAAAAAAACCCGAAAACCCAAAACCCATCTGTTTTACATCAATTCTAATCCACTTCAGATCTTGCTGAGGTTTTGTCCAGGGCTTCTTGACCTTTTCTGGTTAGCTTGGAGCAGACCCCATTCCTGTGTTTTCTTCTCAAAACACCTGAGCTCTGTACAGCCAGGTTTGGGAGGTCCTCCTTTAGATAGACACATGCATTAGCAGTGCAGGTCTGATCCACTGTGTAGAGTCTGGAAATCTTCAGCAAAGGTTCTACAAAGGTTTTGTAATGAACAGAGCATTTTCTGAGTAATAATTCTCCTGGTTGGTGCAGGACTGGGCAGTGCTTTATCTCTTATACGTGAATGGGGTGGCTGTGAGTTGGGACTGAAAAGCAACAGTGCCGTCTCTAGTGGTTGGGCAGCCCCTGCATTCCAGCATGCTGATTTCTACAGCAAAGTGGTTAGAGTAAGTTACAAGACAGTAAAGAGACCCACATCAGTTCAGGTCAGATTTTATAATCATGTAACCTAATTTTTCAGAATTGTGGATATGTGATTCTGGTTCTCTATATTAAAGATTCTGAGAAGTCTTAAAGGAAAAAAAATTCCACTTCATTCTACTACTTGTAATTTTATTTTAACAGAAGTTTTTTCCAGGTAATTGTTCCTAATCATCCACCTGCTGCGCTCAGCCCAAAGGCACTGCCTTTGAATGTACCAGCTGTTTCTTGGGAGTAAGAGGCGCAGTCTTCTCCTGTGAGATTGCTGTCTCTGGAGACCTGGTGGAGGGTCAGCTGTGAGCCAGTTCTAACTCAGTGTTACAGCATTATGCTAGGTGGTTATTCTTAGTAAAAGGAGCAAAGACAGATTGGTTGAAGATGATTTGAAAATTTGGTACTCTGAGATAGTTTGGTACCTTTCAGTCATTTAATATATTTTTTCAGAATTGTGGTTTTCTTACTCCTGTTTGACATTTTCAGCTTCTTACTAGTTATTTAGCCTCCTTCCTTACTCTTGTTGCAGAGAACAGCCTGTCCACCACCTCATGCTCAGTCTCTATTGTTCATTCATTCTGCATTGTTGTTAGATGCCGTTAAGACGACTTCAACTTAAAGCATTCCTTTTTACAACATTCCCAGTGCTGCACCGTCCTTACAGTCTCTGCTGTGCCTAACAGCATTTTTGGTCTCCATTTTTGGAGTCACCGTCAGTTACGCTCAGTGAAAGTTGTCTTCTCCTTTGCTCACATCTGCTTTTGCCGGCATGATGTTTTTTCCCCAAGGACTGATAATGTACCCAAAGTAGGTGAGGTGAAGTCTCTAGACTCCTAGAAGTACCCTGGCTTTCCTTCTTCCAAGACAGATTCATTTGTTTAATGCATAGAGAAGTGTCAGATGATTAGAAAATTTTCCTAGAGTCCAAGTTTACAAAATTTGAAAATTCAGGAAATCCTTGTCATCTCAGCATCACAAGCTAGATTAGCTGAGAAAAACTGGAAACACCTTTTGACGAGGCAGGCAGGAAACTGGAAAAATTCAGGTTCTCTTTGATTTCCTCTTGCAGTTTCTGTTATTCTTGACAGAATATGTTTTTGTTAGGTGCTGTTAAATTTGCAGAGTACATAGACAAGCAGAAAGAAGAGGCCTCTCCTCACCGCTTGAACTCCTAGTCCTTTCCTGGCACACTTGGAACAGCAGGGACTGCTCCTTCATAACTCTGGGTGCAGCTACACTTTCTAGGTTATTTTATTAATTATCTCCTTTCTTCTAGAACCTTGTTGGCAAAAGGACAATTTCTGACTTTGCATTCCTAGAACTTAGTGTAATGGCCAGTACATACATATTGTAGGAATGTACTGAATAAAGAAATTAATGCATAATATGATTCATGAAGATATTAAATCATTTAACATGTCTTTCATATTCTTCTCGAGGCATATGTATTTATTGACGGAGTTATACATCGCATTTTAGTCTTTTTTAGCCCATACTACATTATTGTTTTTGTGCGCTGTTGAGTTGGAACCAAACCAGAGCTGACCCTCCAGTGGGTTTTCAGAGGCGGGTAATCACGTGGAAGGAGACTGCCCATCTGTATCCCACAGAGCAGCTGGTGGATTCGAACCCTGTGTCTTCGGGATTGCAGTACAGCTTCCTGCCATTAGTCCATCAGAGCTCCATCATTAGACAGTATCTTTGAATGTATAATAAATTTATGGAGGATCATTTTATTGGACACTTATGTTTTCTATTTTAAGCTGTTCCACATTGTTTAGAGCAGGTGCAGCAGACAAAAAGGAATTGGAATTTTTTAATTGAAGAATTTTTTAAAACCTGAAGAAGAGATTAAGTTGTTTAAAATGCATTAATGATTACAAAAGAGCCTTGGTATTATAAGTTGGGGTGCTGACCAAAAGGCCAGCAGCATACATCTCCAGCCACCAGCAGCTAGCTCCTCAAGAGAAAGTTAGATTCTCGCATAAAGATGGATGTCTTGGAAATGCCTTGGAGAGTGACTAGGGGGTGGGATCACCACCGTGACAGGGAGTGTGAGTGAAGCTTATGGTTTCTAGAAGTTCTGTTATTTGATCTCAGCCTGTGTGTTTTAAGACTCCCTCTTACATAATCATTGTTTTAAACTAGATCATTATGTAGTGTTACATGCTGTCAAGTTAGAATCAACTCATAGCTGACCCTCCAGTGGGTTTTCAGAGGCCATAATTATGTGGGAGGAGATTTCTCATCTTTCTTACAGCGGCTAGTGGATTCAAACAACCTGGCTTTGGCTGGACAGCACAACACTACCCACTGGGCCACCAGGGTGTCCATTTTATAGTTGTTGTAGGCCATCAAATTGGGACTGAATCATAGTTGACCCTCCAGCAGGGTTTTAGCAGCAGTTAATTGCATGGGACAAGAGAACCTTCACTCCCAGCTGCTGGATGCAAACTACATGCCTTTGGGATTGCGGTGCAGCTGCTTACCACTAAGCCACCATACTTTCTGATTGATAGTGTTGTTTTTATGTCCCGTCGAGTCATCTGCCATTCATAGCAACCCTATGCACAGTAGCTCAGAACTCGGTCCTATCCTGAACCAATCTCACTGTCTCTTGACACACCTGTCCCCATTGCCACAGACACTCTGTCAGTCTTCCTCTCCACCCTTCCAAGCATGATGTCCCTCTCCAAGAACTGGTCCCTTCTGGCCACATGCCCATAGTATGTCAGATAGCACTTCAAAATCCTTACC